ACGACCCAGCGTTTTCAGGAAAGCTCCCCCGGCGGATCGAGTGTCGGGAAATATGTGTCAGCGCCTGAAACCGGGAAAAACTCGAGTCACCAGGGCTTGGCCGCTGTGCTGTTGACGCCCCAGGCGGTTCGCGTTAAACATGGGGTCACCCGGGGAGATTCGTGTGCGACGGCACCGACAGCACCGCGGGGATTCTGCTCCCGGTGACAAGTTTCTGAGGCGCGCAGAGAATTGCTCCGTTAGTCCCAGCCACCGGCAGCCCCGTCAAAACGAGCACAGGAGCTGCGGAAGAACACGCTGCATCCAAGCATTCGTCTGAGCAGCTTCCTAGTATTCTTCTGCAGCCAATTCTTTAAGGAATTTAAGGAACTGTGCTTTAAAAGCACACTTTTATGCCTCCAGCATCCTGGAATGCTCTAGAAATACTGCTGAGCGCTCATGTCCTAACTTACCTCTGATACCTTTGCTTTCAGAGAACTTTCTGCACTGGACAATTGATCAAAACGAAGGAGATAAGTGGAAGATCGAGGATCTGCCTGGAGCTCACGGAACAGACCTGCCAGATCCCGACGTACACAAATACTTTGTCACTTCATACGGGTAAGAACCAGACGGCAGCGGAGCTGGGAGACCTGCGTCCTCCTGCCCACCCGCAGAGACACCACAGTTACGAGGCTAGAGGCAGGTGTGGGAACACAAAGGAGCTCAATTAACCTTTTTTTATCCTAGTTAGCGTCAAGAGGCAGGTGTGCTGCCACAAGGATTAACCGCAGCAAGTGTTCAACTCTCTGGCCACACCAGGCGTTTCCTGTAACATTTTTTATGGCCACAATGAGCCACAGGATCTGTTTCTCTTCCATCGAGGGCAGTGGGCAAAGGTTGAGGCTCATCAGACGCTCTTACCTGACAGCGTCAGAGCTCTCAGAGCGGGAGGAGTTTGTGAGGGTCACAGCTCACACCAAAAGCTCTCAGTGGAGGATCAGCTGCTTTTGCATCTGTTAAGCAGCAGTTCCCCACCACCAGCGGATGCTGTGCAGGTGCAGGGACCCCTCTGACTTCTAGGTAACTCCCATTAATTTGGGAATGAAGCTCATCGGTTCACTTCCTTCTGGTTCAGGACATGGCAAAGGTCTGCCCCAGCCACGGCAGCCTCAAGGGCTGGGTGGGCTCTGGGGGAGAGTGAAGCCGTCGGGCAGGGGCGGCTGGGAGAGGGAGGAGACGTGAATCTGTAAATGTTTCTGTTGCAGGCCATGCCTCAAGTCTCAGCTCATCACCCTGCAGAAAGAAGGATACTGGAACGAGCTGATGGACGAGAAACGGCCGGAAATTGTCGTCAAGGACTGGTAAGCATGTGCACGGAAAACTGCAATTTCTGCCTTTGGCCTAGAGATGAGCCAGTCTTCTAAAGCTTCTCGTGCTGTGAGATTAGTTCTTTATCCTTTGGGAGCTGACTAGAGCAGAAGCTGAATCTAAGTTTCTTCCATGGGCCGTGAGGAGGTGGCAATCCTGTGCCAAGCAGGGCAGCTGGAAGGGTCAGAGCTCCTGCACAGCTGTGGGGTGGGTGCTCCTTCTGCCCAGCAGACGGGGACCCCCTCCCAGACCATGTCTGAGCTCCAAAGAGAAGCGAACGCTGTGTGTGCACGAGGGCTGGGTACGCACTCGCTGCCTCTCCAGGTACGCCGCCAGATTCGACTGTGGGTGTCGCTACGAGCTGACGGTGCAGCTGCTCTCTGAAGACTACCTTGTCCTCGAGGAGTTCCACCCCGAGCCCGTGGTGATAGAGCAGTGGAGCGATGCAGTGTGGAGAGAGGTAAGCACCAGCCCCGGCAGCTACTGGGACACGCAAATCTTCCAATTCTTACTTGGCCGAAAAGTCCCAAGCGGACCTTCTTCCTCTGCTCGATAAACTGGCAAGTCCTCGCTGTCGGCAGTGCTGAGGGAGCAGCCGTGCCGGGCAAGAGCTCGGTTTGGGTTGTGGGTGCCCAGCGTTTTCTGAAGAGTATCCCCTGGGCTTCTGTGTCGTTTTAGCTCAGTCTCTTTGACTGTTTGTTTCTCAAATTTTGTCCAAATTATTAAGTTACCCAGTACTTTTCACTGGATAAAGAAGCTTTGTTTTCAAACTACTGAATGGATGTCATTTCAAGTATTGCAGACATCATTTTTAAACTGCTACATGTGTTTAACTGGCTTGATTTGCTGCAGATTCCCCATTACATGACAAACATATGTTACATTTGACTTGGAGAGGATTTCAGGCTGAGTAAGAGAGGCTTTCCTCCTGCCCCTCAAAAAGGGGTCTGATGCACTGTCACTGAAAGAGACCGTAGAAAGAGCTTTTTCCAAGACCAAGACTTGCGTGTTGTCGGCGCCTGAGCTCCTAGGTCAGCGCTGGTTTCTTTAGGCAAGTGAAGAGGAATTTTCTTCTTTCTCTCCAGGTTTCTCACACCTTCCAGAATTACCCACCTGGAGTTCGTCACATTCGTTTCCAGCACGGAGGCCAAGACACCCAGTTCTGGGCAGGATGGTACGGGGTCCGGGTGACAAACAGCAGCATCACCATCGGCCCCGCGACATCGACGTGAAGGCACAAAATATGGGTTTGCTTTCACCTCAGGGCTGTAACCAGGTGGTCGCAGGTCACTTATTTGTCTGTACTCCCTGGGTGACTGATCCTGGCTCTATCTTGCACAGCTGGCTAGTTCTTGTTCACAGCAGGACTTCTGCAGCCCCTTTGGAAGGGCTTCTTCTTCATCCTTCATCCTCCTGTCCCACAGGTGTTACTGCAGCTAGTAGTGCCCTCCACGGGAGGAAGACTAGGACAATTAAATACAACATCTGTCTTTTTCTAGTTAATATGTTGTTGTGCTCCAGCCTAACAGTAAGTCTGAAACAGAAACCCTTTCTGGTTTATGGAACTTAGGGAAGATGAGGCTAAAGTGTTGCATTTCAGGCTAAAATGTTTGTTTCATTTCAGATTATCAGTCCTCAAGGGCTCTGCTACAGAGAGACGTGTTTTGTATGGTTCTTTCCTGTATGGTTCTTTCCTGTATAAAAACATGTATTTTTCACATCAGACTTTTCACAGCGTAAGGAACCTGTCAACCCTTTTTCATAAACGCTGCATTCCTGGTACTGAAGTGCTTGCTGTTTCTGTGTCACAGCGATACGTGCCTGCCTTCCCTGTCCAAACACAGCTCAGCGTTGTTTATTTGAACCGCTAGAGAAAGAGGAGGTAAGAAATGCCTTGAGGTGGCTGCTTTACAACCTAAGCATCTTTTGACCGTGCTGGGCTTTTCCCGTGCTGCCTTTCCTGGCTTGTACTGAACAGTCCAAGCCTGGATCAGATGTTACAACCTCCATCTGCAGTTTTCTTGCATTTTTTACTTGGAGGAAGCAGGGAAGCCCTGTCCTGGCCGTCTTACAAAGCTGTCTGACCAACTCAAATACTATGAACCAAATCTTCTACCCTTGTATGCACAGAGCCAAACTAAGCCTTCTTCCATCTCCCTTGATAACGTGTAGGATTAAGTGTTTCCCCTTGTCTGTTCTCTGTTAGGACATGTGCAATTGTCCTTGCTGGGCAGACAGATTCCACCCTGCTCATGCAACTGGTTGGTCAGAGCTCTCCCATGGAAAGGGGAGAGGCCAGGGTTGAATTGGCAGATTCCAGAAAAGGGACAGAAAAGGGGTGAGAGCGCCACATAAACACGAAGCCCTGTCCAAAACAAAAATCCTTCCTGGCTTAAGGGGGAGGCTGGTTTGGACAGGACTCAGCCTAGTTCAACCGGGGGTAAAACTTCATCTTTATTGAAGACTCCGTGGGACAGTCACAGTGGACAGACACTATGTAAGGCCTCACTCACCCCGGCAGGAGTCCCTCGCTCTAGCAGAGCAGAGGACGGATGTTCTACCTGGGTGCGATGGAGGGGCCCTATTAAGGCGAGCAGGGCGTTTGCACAGAGCCCCAGCTGCGTGCTGCCATCGCCTGTGTCCTGCCCCGGGGCCTCACCATCAGGAAACCTGCACGCACCCGCACCCGTGAGCGCACGCGGGAACAGGCTCTGGCTCCACATTCCAAGTCAGTCCTATCGACAGTCATAAGAGCACTTGAAATAAAGAGGCAGCAGCTGCTCTACATTCACCCAGGCCAGCTGAAGAGACCGTTGCAAGGGATGGTTCGTGAGAGATCTCGTTCCACTGGAAGATCAGACGAGGCTTGAAGGCAAGGGAGAGCTGAAATCAGGTGCCTTTGTGGGCTCGCTCTTCTACATAGAGCTGCATCTGGAGGAGAGAAACGCGCGTCGGTCCCACGTGATACGCAAACGGAAAACAAGCCTGCGACAGGCTAAATAGGGAGAGTTTGTTCCTTCCCCATGACCGGGTTCCCTGGTTTATTAGGAGGAGTCTTGCCCTGTTTTTTCACTGGCTCAGGCATCAGCAAGACTGAGCCGCTGCTGAGCAGTGACCCTGCGGGGAGCGGCACAGCTGGCGGCAGAGCAGACAGTGCTACGCGCAGTTCCAGCCACCTCTTGGGCCAGACTCACCTTCAGAATATCAGATGTCATAGTTTTCAGGGGAATAAGCCGGGGGTCATGCATGTGCACGTCCTGTTCGTCCGCGAGGATCCATGGGAAATCCTGGGGGCAGGAACACAGGGGGCTTTATTTGCGCTCTAAGGGGAGCTCCCCTTCTCTGCACCAGGTCAGCATTAAGGGAATGACAGATCTGGTAGCTGAGGGAAGTAACAGGCAGCTTAAACCTTTCCTACAGCAAAACTTAACACTTGGCCCGGAGACTCACCATAATTTTCTTCAGTTACATCAAACTATAAACATTAACGTATAACGTTAACCAGCTCCAACAGTGACATCTCACTTCCTTAAAAGATGCTCTGAGCTGCCCTGAGCCAGCATGTTCTACTCATTACACCAGCATTTCATCGCAACTCCAAAACGCTCCGAGCACAGACTTCTATCCTGCCTTGCAGGTTTTACGGTTGGTCCCACTATTCTACCAATTTCCACCACTCTGAGGTACAGTGCACGCTCCCGTTCTGAAATGATTTCATCCTTTACCAGCTTAATTTGTTGTGCCTTAGGACACCCAAAATACCTTGGCTCAGGGAAAAAAAAGATTCCCTGTACCTATGCAAGGATTCTTTACCAAAAAAATCTTGCTTTAAAAAATGACGTGCACGTGCTTTCCCATAAGATAAAAATCTATCTGTGCACCCAAAACCTACTCGTTACTTGAGCCTTAAGTCTTCCTTGCTGCTTATAAAGAATCAGACATCCACACGCAGTGGAATGTGAGGCGAGGGCTTTTTTGTTGCTGACTAAACTCAAATAACTCTTCTAAGTGCTTTTACGTGACTGAGCTGGCAGTATTGTTACCATCCAAGTCAGGTATTGAAGCAGCTGTTGCCTGCAACTGGTGCGCAGTGAATGTGCTCTGTTACTCACTGGTGTAAACTTTTTAATGCATGTAAAGTCCGTGTTCAAAACGTCTCGCAGCCTTAACCTCAGAGATGCCAAAACTCTGTCATTTCCAGTCCTTGCTCTGCAACTTGCTCGCACGCAGGGAGCCAAACCCGTCACGCACCTTTATCACCTGGATCTTCTCCATGTTGCGCGTGGCAGCCTCCCGGGTGTGAACCAGGACAGTGAAGGTGCAGCCTGCAAGAGACACGGATGGCCCCGGGTCAGGGACATCGCACGGAGGATGGGACACACTACTGTCCCCAGGCAAGTGAGGGCAGGCTCACCTCACCTGGGGGGTTGTTGTCAAGCACGGCATCGCACACGCTGATCTTCAGGATGAAGGCACGCAGCAGCTGCTCCACGTGGGACAGCAGGGACTCGGAACTGTGGAGGAGATGGCAGTGGGCAGGGGCCCGCAGCCCTGGAGCTGCTCCCAGCACAGCTCTGCAGGGGCTGCTGAGGGGCTTGTGAGGATGTCAGGCAGTGGTAGGGCTGGAGGGAATGGATTGAAGCTGGAGATGGGTCGGTTCAGATGGGACATGAGAAAGAAGTTCTTCCCCATGAGGGTGGGGAGACCCTGGCACAGGGTGCCCAGAGAGGGGGTGGCAGCCCCATCCCTGGGAGTTTCTCAGGCCAGGCTGGACGGGCCTCTGGGCAGCCTGATCTAGTGGGGGATGTCCCTGCCCATGGCAGGGGGGTGGGACGAGATGAGGTTTA